ATAATTACATATTTATTTATGACTCGAATAATATTTTCTCTAAGTTTTGAAAATATGTTTAAAACTATATCGGCACTATTTTTATTAAATTATAAGCTGAACTAATTAGTTTAATGATTATATTTTACAGGAGAAAATTGTATGAATGTGTGTGTGCGTGCGTGTGTGTGCGTGTGCGTGTGTGTGTGTTCATTATTAATTAAGGAACCATTTTACATAAACGCTTATCAATATTTAAATTTAAAATTTTACTATACTTCAAAATAAATCTTTTAATAAAATAAGCGTATTGCCTTACTTTAAGTGAGTTTCTGACTACATTTAGAGTAAATTATATATAGTCCCTTTCATTCAACTATATCATAATGAATCATGTATAAATCAAATATAATTTTTATGTAAAATTAAATTTAAAATAATTCAGTATTTGGATTACTTTATGGCAATAAATTAACTATAACTAAATGATTGAATGAAAAAATCTTTAGACTTATCTTTGGAAATATTTAATGAATGGGTGGATTAAATAAATCTTTGCATTTTATGTTGAATACCAGACTCTTCATAAACTGGGTGTTCAAAAATTCCTCCAATAAGGCATATTTGATACAATCTCTGATCTAGAAGCTGGTTAGTCTTTTTTGTTCAATTCCAAATTTCAAAACTGAGAAAACTGAAAATTTATATTCCCAAATCTGATGTTTTCATTGCCAAATGTAAAATTCAAAGCATTCAGACAGATATTTCTAATGATTCAAATTTATACATAGTATGTCACTATGTGCCTATCGGACTTCCATGCTTGCTTTATGCATTCAATCTAAAATTAACTAGATAAGGATTATAAAAAAATAAAAATATATGTATATACATTTTCTTGCACTTAAGGAATCTTTTTATTTCTTACTGTAATGATGCAATTCATGAGTTGTAAAAATAATAAGAACAGCGTTCATGATAGCATATATACACTAATGAAAATAAACTCAATTTTTTGACGATTCCGCAGTCTTGGAACTGTATTTCGTTATTTTGAGAATCATTTCGTCACGAAATCACGTGATTTTTGAGGAAATTCGAAGTCTCTAATATATGACATAATTGTTTCCTTAACTTGGAACCTCATCGCGTTGCATTGTAGGAGATTGTTAACAGAATGACGGCATGCGCCAATAAGCCTGTACAATGGACAAGCCGTATACCAGGATGATCGTTTATATCCCGACTCAGTCATGGACGTAGTTTATCTTAGAATTTTATCTGTCCTTATTGGGGTGACATTGATGATTGATCAAAAATGCCAGCATGATATTGCCCATTAAAAAATTATCAAAAATGCAATCCGTAATTTGTGTTTATTTATTTTTTATTTATTTATTTTTTGTAAATTAAAATGGAATGACGAAAGACTTCATTACTTTACCATGTCCTCGAAGAAGTAGTGATAGTTATTTCCTCACTTTGACAAGATGTTAGCTCGGAGTCAAAAACGAATAAAGTCTCGTGAAATTTAAGTATCCTTTCTTTTCAGTGCTCATGTAGTTGTGTTGACATTTAATGGTATTAACTTGTTTCATCGCATTACTTTAAATTCTTCACATTAAAGCGTATTTAAATTCTCCGCATTAAAACTTATTTAAATTCTTCGCATTAAAATATGGATTAAATTCATCTCGCTAAAATATATATAACATATATTTTTCAAAGGGGGCGCAGCTCTTGTGAAAGATATTGTAATAATTGGCTATTATCTATGCTTAGGGTTAAAAGGATTTTATATCTCTGTCTTGTAGTATTATCAAATATAATCCTATCAAAAAAATCAGCTTCGAATTTGTTTCAGTTAGGGATTATTCGTATAACATATCTATTAGACTACATCAAATGGAATAACTCATAATTGGCGTTTACTATTTATTGTTTCATATATAGCTCATGGTAGTTATCAAATCCATTACATTAATTTGACACTTCATTGCCATTCTGCTATTTGGCTGTAATGTTGACAATTCAGTTTTGACATGCAGCCATGATCATTGACATAATGGAAAATGACATAAGACACGTTGTGCCTACTAATTAATGTGAGCAATTACTCGACCTGGTATCTAAAGAGAATTAGCAAACACTGATTTAATTTCCATCCTTATAAAAAAATCAATTTCATACCTAGCGAAACTGATATTTAAAATTAAAATGTAATAATTTAATTATATAAATATATATATTTGTTGTTATTAACGACTATGAAAATTTATAAAAATATTTATTTATTTTAATGGGTTTTTTTTCAGTTTATATTCATTGAAATATGCAAAAAATAGTAACAAGTTCACTAATTTAGGTTTAATTCATAAGAAAATAATTTTAACAGTGTGCTATAATATGTTATAGTAAATTCTAATGCGTTGTCTTATATATATATATATTGTTCGAAATTTCTCGGTGAAAATTATCAAGTAGCAAACTTTTTTAGAAAGTTGAAGTTTTTTAGTTAATTAGACATTCTTATAAATTTGATTTATTTTTTGTCTTTTGTTTATAAACCAATAGTCTTTTAGAGACCTTTCTTGGACCATTTTATGACTTCAAGTAGTGAATTCTCCGCAGCAATCATAGAAATAAAAACTTGTTAAAATAAGAATTTAAAAATTGCGAAGTTATATTAAATTGCGTTTACAAGAAACGGAAAAGTATTTTAAATTCGAAAAAATTCAATCTCTTTTTAAGGGAGTTGTACAATTTTTAATAAAAAAACTTCCCAATTTCTATTTGGTTTGAAACATTTGAAACCCTTTTGAGGTGTTCCAGAAAGATTTATCAAAACTGAAGTCGTAAATAAAAATTTCGATGTTTTAGAAATGGAGTAAAATGGTTTCTCTGCGAAATATTTTAGAAAGAAGAAAAAGATAAAGAATATTTTTTTATAATACGAGTATTATTACTGTTTGAATTGTTTATTAACTTTTAATGTTTTTCTATGTTAAAATTACTATACAAGCCCTTTATTATTTTATTAAATTTGTAAATTTTACCTTTGTTATATTTTTTATATGGTTTTATTTATTTTAATATAAGAATACGCTTAAAATGTCAAAAATACAAATAATTTAATTATTTTACCGTCCCTTTAAGCGATAGGTAAAGCGTGCTTTTTGAATCTCAGCTTCCATGCTGATATTCTTCTGTCAGAAAAATATACCCCCAGAAAAGTATAAAAAAGTATCCATGCATAAATTCTTGGTGACGATCTTACATTTGAACTTTTTTTCGAAAAGCAATCTGTATAAAATTCTCTACTCCCAGATGGGTGTCATTCTTGTTGTTACCGCCAGATGTGTCCAATGAAGAAGAAAACTATAAGATTTTTTTCTTGTATAAGATATTTTTTTCATTTATATCTAAAAGACGAAAGATAAATTGATTTCCGTTTCCATAAAACTATGTGATAAGGATCACCCGATAATATATTGAAACATTTTTTTTCTGGAAGCTAAAACTATTATTTGTTTCGTGAATAATACAAGTCATTAGGGACAATTCTAGAATGTCTTCTTTCCTTCTTACTCAATGCAATCGCAATATTACTAATAGAGACCTTGTAACAGTTATAACAAAATGAAACATGAATTCTGAAATTTAAAAGAAAATAAATTTTCTAGATTCTCCGAAAAATTTATTCAAGCTTGAAACATAATTTATATTTTTTGAACAATCATTTTGTTCAAATCTGTAGCAACCTTAATATGATGCTAAGCCTTATCATGTCTACGCTCAATCATTCAATTTGAGTCGTAGTATCCCACAATAAATTTAACCAAGGATTAATTTACTCGACGATATTTCTCAATTTTGATGATACCAACAATGATGATACCAAACTGAATAATTATAATAAATTATTCAGTTTGGTATCATTATAAGGTTGCAGTATATTACCATGTTAATATGGTTCAACTTAGCACCATAAAAAGTTATTGCTAAAGTGCATGATAATATGGTCAAGCTAGGTAACATAATAAGATTGAAATAAATTTACACGTCAATATGTTTCAAATTTATTTCAACATTGGTTTGCAATAAACTTTCATGTTAATGCGGTTGAAACTATCAAAATAAAAAGTTTGCAACAAATTTGCACTTCATTATGATTCAATTTTTCAACAGATTAAACTTTTAACTGAGTCAAAAACCAAAACCTTAGCAAAAATCTTAGAGTGGTATAAATTTTCACTGATGAACAATATTAATTCTTTCCGAAATAGTTTATTTCGGAATGTTCTTGAAGAACTAATAATGAAACAATATTTATTATAATTATTATTTTTATTATTATCAGGAAAATATTATTATGACCTATGTGTTATTAAGAGAATGAAATTTAATTGAAAAGTGTAGAAATGTGTTAAAACATTTATGTCTCCTTTTTCAGTACTTGAAATCTCTCAAATAAATTGTTTTTAATTACTTTAAAAGTTTCAAAAATTAACTTTTTTTTCAATTATATTTTTTACGATATATTTATTTGCAGGAAAAAACTATAAACAATTTTTACAAATATGAAGAATAATACTCTTTTACTCACAATGCAAAAGCGTATAATTTGACTCACAGTGATAAGTGCTCCTAACTTTACTCACAGTGTAAATACGTATAGCTTGACTCACAATGTAAATTTGTATAATTTGACTCACAGAGTAAAGGCGTATAATTTGACCTATAGTGGTAAATGCGTGTACTTTCATTCACTATGAAAATGCATGAAGTTTTAATCACAGTGTAATAAAATATATTGAAAAATATAATTTCAGAAACATATTTTAATTAAAGTCTATATGTTGGTATTTTTGGACCAGAATTCCTATGGGATTCTCAAATCTTATGATGTATTCTACCTACTTTCAAAGATTATAATCTCTGTTTTAAATAACCTTCATACATAACATGTTTTTTAATTGGCCATTGCAGCAGTTTAATAAAACATTATACTTTTTTTTCAGATCCAATCAGTAAAAGTAGTGACATGAGATTGGTCGTTGTCTCTAAAGGTATTGCGATCCTACCTTGTGATTTCAGAGAGGGTACACTCTCAACAATACAATACACATGGACAAAAGACAACTTACCTCTTGATGTTACAAACAATGACCGCTTGGAAATCACAGACGAAGGTAATCTAGTTCTTAGAGATGCAAAAGAAGAAGACAATGGGGTATATGTGTGTAAAGCTGAGAATGACAACATAACCACTGAAGTTAATGTTACACTTATTGTTCTGGGTAAGTGTAAAAATAATTCTATATTGAACTCAATGTATTATAATTTTTTTAATTGCATTACCTACTTTTCAAATATTTTAATTTTAAGTATATTACGTATGACCGTTTTCTAGATTTTAGACAGGTACTCAGAGATCAAGCGTAGTTCATAAAATGTGAGCAAATCCTTAAGCAAATATAGGTCAAATTATTTAAAACCATTCGTGATGAATCACTGATTGACGGTAAAATAGTGTGCATGTGCAAAATATTTCTGTCTACGTCATTTCAGCACAACACATGTGCGCTCGTGAGAACCGGTATAATACCAATTCAATTTCATTAAATAGGTTCAAATTTATTACAATTAGACACATGTTGGTACCTTTGCTATCTTTTTCTGGATGTTTAAGAGGAGTCCCAGATATTTTATATAAAGCAATTAGAGATGTCTCAGCAATTTTTCTATTTTATTTATTCCCATCACATACAGTTTATTTCTATCAAGAGCAGCTGTAATGTACATAAATAGTTTAAAGTGAATCTTATCATTAAAATCTACATATTTTAGAAAACAATGAAGTTGAAATAAATTTATATCTATGCTTACACATTTGTTTTCATTATTTTAAATTCTAGAGGTAGAAACAATGCTTTTTTTTGCTCAAATTGCAGTATTGAGGGAAAGAAGTGAACTTATTTCTTAGATGATCAATTATATGCTATACTTAAACAATATTATTAACTTTAATAATAAAGTTGAAGATAATCATAGGTGTCCCATTTTCTCTCTATATGAAAGAATATAGTATATACTTCTTGTTCTTTTTTGTTGCCTTGCTTATAATTAATTTTGCAATGGACAATGCATTTATGACTAGATAAATGCCAGATAAAATACTATGTATAAAAGAAAACGACCTTATATTTGAATTGTTCAAAATTTTTTCACCTCATGTACTGAGTGTTATATATATATTTTAAAGTAAATCACCACAATGAGCACGAGGACAAAAATTCTAGTAAACTTTCCATTCAGTATGGTAATGACATTTCCGTTAAGAAGAAAAAGAGCATAATTCTTTTAATAAACCCAAAATATATGGTATTTAATCCATTCATTTGTTAACTTTTCTGTTCATAAGGTACAAGTTTGCCGGAAATTCTGGTTTTCATAATTATAATTCATATTATCACACATTTAGTAAAAATACAGAACTGAAAAGTAAATTTAACTGTTTAAATGGTTTTTATGCCATACTCTAAGGTATCATGATAAAATTTTACCACATTTACCAATTTTTATGATTTATTATAATACTATATTTTGTTTGTTCGACTCCCAGCGTTTATAGAACAATATTTCTTCTATTCCTTAGATACATGAAAAGTTTTTAGTGTCTTGCACTCGTTAGTCGGTGACCCTAGACTGTTTGAATACAAAACTATCTTTCACTCATAAATTGGAGCAAACATTCACTCATAAAAACAAAGCTCCAATGTCCGCTTGAGTTCCATTTTTATGAATTAGAAAACTATGCTAGTTGTAAATGATTACGAAACTGTATGGTTTTGTATTTGCTAATTTTTAAGTGTACCAGTTTTAAACGGTTTCAGAACCGTAAAGGTTCCTAACAATAAACTTAATGGTTATTTGGATGGACAGACTGCTGCCTATATTTTTACAGTATTTTTGGACTGAAAATTCTAACAGGGTTTATGCTTTTTAACCATAAATAACCATTTATTGAGAGCTTCTTGATACTCTAGATCTCATTAAATTAGTGGCTCTCTTTTAACGAGTTTACTACAAAAAGTTTTTCAATGTCAAAGAAACAGAGAAGTGTAACAAATTCTCATTAATGAAAAATTATCATAAAAAGAACTTTAGGGCAGAATAATTAAATCAATATCAGCGTCAAAAATAAGAATTTATCTATAGAAGTTTTACTAAAATATAATTAACTTTTTATCTCGAAATTTCTTATTGTGCTAAACTTTGTTTAACTTCATCAAAGTGTAAAAACTTTTTGCTCGTGTAACTTTGCTCCTAATGAGCTAACTTTTGTGAATGTTAAGAACGGGATAAGAAAAGTTAATTGCAAAATTGCAACAATTAAAATCGTTTCAGTGTATCTATTTAGTCATAATACAAAGTCTGTAGTTAAACAAAATATTTAACTTTCTTGAATAACTATATTTTAAAGAGAGAAAAATCAGGATCTCGTACAGACTTCTTGAATAAATATTTACTTTATTATAATGGGATTTGGTTGTAAGTAATATTTTGTCGTTTGGATTGAAAGTTTATTCTTCTGATTGAAACGCATTGTACAAAAATTTCTTTTCAAAAATTGTAACAGTCTATCTAAATTTGTATCCTAATTAGTTTTTAAAGTTTATTTATTTTACTTGCAATATAAACATTAACTTAATAAGGGTTTTTTACTTTTAATCATAAATCATGAAGATAAAACATCATTTTCTTAACAAACAAATGAAAGAAATTTAATTACGTAAAGGATTTCAAATTACGATAAAATACATATTTCAATCTTAGTCAAGTCATACATATTTCAATCTTCACTTCGCTTTTATTAACTGAGCTTATTAATGTCTCGGAAATATTCTATTATATTCATTTTGATAAGACATTTTCGTTTTTAAAGAGATAATGAGATGTCTAAGAATCATATGTCACCACTTAAAAGATATATTCAAAAAACCGATATCTTTCATAAGACAAAAGAAAGGAAAACAATCAGAAAAATGAGATTTTCAATTTTTAATTTAATTGAAAGAGATTATGTTTTAATATTAACATTATTTTTATTTTTGAATAAAAGAAATCCATATCTATGATTATTTTCAGAATTCCTTCAGACTTTTTTTAGATTTCTTTTTATTTGTAATTATTTTTAACTAATGATAGGTTGCAGGAAAAATATATGATTATATTCATATTGATACGGCAGCATGTATTTCATTTTAAGTGATATTATGAAGTGTCTGATACACTGCTTTTAAAAATCTCTTAAAAAACATGCTTTTTTTTATAATTTCATGTTTCTTATTTTCTACTTATATTAAAATGTATCAAAAGTATTACATAAAAGCATAAAAAAGGTGAAAAAAACATAAAAAATTATATTCTTAGCTTTTAATCTAACTAAAATTATTATACTACTTTAACATTTTTTTAAATTATTTTGAATAAAAATATCTTTAAATTGTTTTGAAAACATATATTTTTTGTTTAGCGAATAGTTTTGCGTAAGAGAATAGAATAATATTGAAGCATTAAAAACATTCTTAAATTTAAAAGAAAATATCAAATATTTTGTAATTTTAAATACATATATTACAATCAAAAATATTATTTTGCAGTTTTATTAAAATAATTTAAATTAGAAGTTAAAAATATTTATATTCCTTATATATTACTTTAATTTATCTAATTTATTGCATTCAGACAAAAAAATTTGATTTAAAAATAAGTGACCAATCCAAAAAAAGACGACCATTGGAGAAAAATGCTTCAAAATCTAGGAAGTTGGCACTATTTTCATCGTTATGCCTGAGTGTTGTAACATTTCTGGCGTTGTATCTGAACGTTGTAATAATTTTGGTGTTGTAACTAACATGTATTTTAAAATTAATAGTAGAAAGAATAATAGTGTCATTTTTAGTAAAGAACACAACGGAGTTTATAAAATCTTAGTTTCCATAATTGCAAAATACCTCCAATTTTTGTTTATAATAAAAACAAATCCCAGAAAAGGTGTTAATTAATCTTTCTCATCTAAAGGTAATAATTATTAGAGCAAAAGAAATTGAATTCTTAGACAAAAATGAAGTTAAAATATCACTCATTTCGACCTACACCGAAGAGCCATTACATTATGACCACCCTCCATCTGTAACAATGGGCTCGCCCAGGTTTTCATTTTTTCTCGCCCAGGAACAATGTTTTCATGGGGCACATTAGGACCCATAATCCTCATAGAACAATCCCTGACGTCTGTAAGCTACTTGAACATAGTTGCAGACCAGGTTCACCCATTCATGGCAACAGTTTTTCCTGCGGGGGATGGTGTTTACCAACAGGATAATGCACCATGTCATAAGGGTCGAATCGTCATGGATTGGTTCGAGGAACATTCCAGTGACTTTCAAGTCATGTCTTGGCCCCCAAATTCACCTGACCTTAATCCAATAGAGCATTTGTGGTCCTACTTGGAAAACCAAATTCGTGCTGCCACGCTACCCCCTCGCAATGTGAGGGAATTGCAGGACCAGTTGGTGAGCGCTTGGTACCAGATACCTCAGACTACCTATCAGTACCTTGTGGAGTCAATGCCACGGCGGGTGCTAGCAGTTTTGAGGGCTGAAGGTGGTCTTACATGTTGTTAGCAGGGTGGTCATAATGTAATGGTTCTTCGGTGTATATTATTGGTTAATATTGATAAAACATAAGAGTATTTTATGCTATTTTTAAAACAAATTGTTGTTTTAAAAATGTTAATTAACACAAATTTTTTTTGATGGCAATAAAATAAATACATGCTAGTGATAACGATAAAAATAGTAAACTTCTGTTTATAATGAGGATAAGACATTAACGATAATGGTGAAATTTAAAATAGATTACTAACATCAATGGTAAAATTGACTATAAAACACTAATAATGTTTGAAAACAACTGATAAAAAAATGACTAATAATGATAGCAAAAAAGTTCATTAGCATAATCTTTTAAAAGGAAACGACTTTTTGCCATTCCATGAATTATAAAATTGTTTACTAACTGTAGTCGAAATTCCAATTAGGAAATAAAACTCTTTCTTACTAAATAGAAAAAAGAGGAAACGGAAATAAAGATTAAGAAACAAATAAAAAATAAATAATGATTGTTTATAACAGCAAATAAGAAAATGGAACATTAATTGGAATGGAAAATTTTGAACACTAATTGCAATTTAACGAAAAAAAAAGATTTTTAAACGATCTATTAAACAATTATAATTAGGGTATTGTTAAAAGTTTATTTTTAAATAATTGACATAAATTTATTGTACATTTTTTTTTTGAATTCTCTAAAAGGTTTTTATCTATTTCAGTGTCCAATTTAGAACCTTATTTTAAATTTATTGCACGTTTTCTTCTAAATTCTCAAAATGGATTTTATTTATTTCAGTGTCTGATTCAGCACCTCATTTTTCAAACTTTTCTCAGCCAAATGAAACAATTCAAAGAACTGTTGGATCTTCAGTTAAATTTGAGTGTCCTATAGAAGGGCATCCAACACCTGCAGTGACATGGTTAAAAGACGGGATGCATATGGACACATCAAATATTGATTCGACCTCAACAATAATGAAATGGTCGATAACAATCAAGAACCTAAAACCCGAAAACTCAGGAAACTACACTTGTTTTGGTGCGAATGAATTCGGAAGTGTAAATGCGACATTTGTTCTTCATGTCATGTCTAGGAATAGGACAATGCTCTTGAGTAAGTAAGATATTTTTGTTTTTTTCACGAATGTTCTGCGGAAGTTTATAGTAATTGTTAAGAAACTTATTCGATCAAAAGAGTTGTTTATCAATACTTGTTTTTGCTCTTATCTCGTAAAAGGTTGAACTTTTCACAACTTATACTGCTTCTGAGCTACATAATGGCCACATTTCCATGATCCAATCAGAGAATGAAGCAGGTTAACACGAATTCAGAAAAGGATATAATGAGAAAATAACTTTTAAAATGAGATTTAGCATTTAAAATATTAAGTCGAAATGAAAAAGTGCTAAAAGCAGCAGACACCGAATTTGTATTTAATAATTCAAAAAGTTTGAAACATAAATCAGGCAAAAAACGAAGAATTTTAAAGAAATGTATGTTAGCAAAACAGCATCAGGGGAAACACAGTTCCTGTATGTTGGCAGACAGTGTTTCACTTATGCTGTTTTGCTGATATGCATTTCTTTAAAAATCTTTGTTTTTCGCCAGATTTATGTTTCAAACTTGCAAATTATCACATTTCCATGATTTCACAATATTGTTTTTCTACTCATAGGGCAGTGTTTTTCCCTATAAACTACATTTCTTATTTCTGTTTTTTCTAAAATGCATTTTTATGAAATAGATTGAATATCAAAATTTAATACTAGATTTAGTAATCAGCAAGGAAACTTGTATTGGAAATTCAAAAATATCACTTCAAACTATTAGATGTCACACTGTTGCCAGAAAATGCTAGTTAAATTAAATATCAATCGAGTGACTTTTTTCGAATATTGCTCATTTAAAATGGGAATAAACTGATTCCAATGTTTACGTTTGAACAGCAAATATCTTTAAGTTTAAGAAAAAAAAATTTCGTATGTGTTTTCATATATTACATGAATATATTATAAAATACAAAGCTTAAATGTTTAATTACACATGCAGTATAAGAAAATGTTATTATATATTCATACATATTTGTTTTGAATTAATTGATTATTTGAAAATGAATATAACATTTTTATAGTAAATCCATTTCAATTCAACTTAACGAAAATAAAGTGGATGTAGTTACATTTCAAAGTAAATGGGAGTGGAATTTATTTCTGCTCAAATTTTATTTTGGCATGGGCTTAACTACTTTTTGTATAAAGTACTATTTTCAAAAATGCTTTCAAACTATTTTTATTATAGGCCTGAAGACTCAAATTTAAATGTAGTTACAGAATTATAAGCATTTTTTAAAGATTACTGGTGTTTTCTATTTTAAAAGCCTAATTTATAAGGTATGCAATGGACTAAAACGAAAGATTCAGTTGAAATTTCTGAAATACATCCTTTTTTCTGAAATCTTTTCTTTGGATTTATTTAAAATATTGATCACTTAAAGTTTTTAAAGTCCATTAATGCGTAACTTATAGTTTTCTGATTTTCTTCAGCATGAGTATTCTTATTATTTTAAGGTAAATTTAAAAATAGTTTAAATGCCAATAAGGAAGCAGGATGATCCATGATGATTAATGTAAGATTACGTAGGGAAAAATATATAATCGCTTTCCGAAATATCAAATGTATAATTTTGTTCAAAATTAATGACATATTCTATTACACTTTGCTATTATTTGACATGGGAACTTATATTTTTTATTTTTAGTCGAATTTAATGATTAAATACAGTTAAATTGTTAAATAATGAAACATCATCAATTATGGTGATTAATGGGGACGAAGTCGAAATAAATATGAAACCATTCGTAAAAGAAATAATTTAACTTGCTTAGAATACATAACCTTTATTATTAATTTTTACAACGAGAACAATATATAACTATTATATAAACTGACAGGTAGTCAAGTTAACATTCGAAAATTTTAAAAATTTAAATTTTTTATTCAAAGTTAAAAATATTGACAGGTTGCTTCCAAAATTCCTCATTAATTTCACTTTTGAACTTGCTTTAGCGATTATTTACCATTCATCAATTTTCTTCAAATATTAAAATTTTTTGTAATGAAAATTGTTATTTAATGTTTTTTATGTAAATGTTTTTTCTAAATATATGCCATATTTGAAAAAAAATTATGATTTAATTTACTAATCCGTATATTATAAATTTTATAAGCACAAAGTCATTCTTAAACACATGCATTACTTAAGATAATGCACTCTTTATATAAATTTAAAGCTGTCCATCATTTCAATTTACTAATTTAAATTTTTGTATCATTACAAAATGATGTTTAAATATATTTATTATAAGCTAGAAAACCAGGAATAATATTGATTTGCTTTTTTTGAAAAAATGTGTTTTTGCAATATACTTAGTCAAATAATTAAAGAAATAACTACTATTACAGTATTTCAGTAAAAAAAAGATAAATTTGGCAAAAAAAATATTTCGAAAACTAATTTATGGGAAACTTAATCATTCTTTCAACGCTAAACTGAACAAATATTTAAGCTACGTTAAAAGAGAGAAACTTTGTCCAAACTTGAGATAAAATCTGTTAAATTAGGTGTAAGGAGATGCAATGGCAAGTAAGTGGTCTCATCTGAGCTTTAACTTTTCCTTATCTCCACATTATTTTGAAAGCTATTGCAATAAATTGTTTCGAAAAAGCCATGTACTTGAAATAGAAAAAATACTTTTTTATTTGTTATTATTACTTATTTATTTGCACTTAGAAGAAATTTAAGATTTATTTCAAGGTTCGTGACTTTAATAATGTATAATATATTTAGTTGCAATGAAAATATGATAAGTAAGCACCTTGTTAGTTACAAAACAATTAATATTTTATGAATAGATTTTATTTAAATTGCTTTTCTGTAAAACAAGAGATATTTATTAGAATAATAACGTTTATGAATAGAATAGTACAAATAATATTCTCATTACATTTAAATTCCACACTTATGAGAAGAATAGAAGAAATGGAAGAAATCTCTGTACGTATAAGACGAACACAATAAAACTGATTTAAACTTATGATGGAAAAGTATATAAGGTACATAAAAACCAAAGTAAGATTAATTTGTAGCAGAAATACTTATTTTTAATTCGTAATAAAAAAATTTACGAATACGAAATCAATCTCAGTTATCGAATTTTCGCGTAATTGAAATTCAATGTCCAAGAATGATTCAACCGATTTCGTTCCAATTTTCGTTTTTGAAAAATAAAATGAGGTACTTCAAAATTATTTAAAAATGTATAAACCTAACAATAGAACAGATTTTTACTATTGCTAAATAAAATAATAAAAACTATAAATAATAGCTAAAAATTATTTTTTGCTTGGAATTAACTTTGGAAAAAGAATTTTATAATTGTGTGTTAAAAGTTTTGATATATATCATCAATTTAGAAGATATGGCGAAATACGCAAAAAGAAAAAATCGCAATAAAGGATCCACGCTTTGGACTGCTTTATGCTTAAAAAGTCGTATTTTTAAAATTCGATTTCTCAGAAACTAATCAGCCGATTTCTCTCAAATTTTATATTTTGCCATGTCGAGTTACATTCTACAAAATAATATCAAGAACTGCATACTTTTCAATTCAAGTTTCTCGATTATTATTAAATGAAATCATAACAAATAATAAATGTTTGCTAAGAAGTATTTTTTGCATGAAATTACTTCAGGATTTATAAATTCTAGAAGTTTTTTCAATTCGCTAAAAGCGTTCTCGAGACACGGTGGAATAAGCAAAGCGTAAAACTAATATGTAGGGAACCATGGTTGGGATCGATCTCCTGACCAAAATATTGGGACCATATTTCTCAAATTGTGACTACCCCCTACATCTTAGGGTCAGAAATCTGATTTCGTCAAAGTGAGGTATGTTTATTCAGAGAAAAAATGTTTCTGTATCTTTTTTCGTAACTTAAAATGCCGTTTGTGCTAATTAAATAGCATATTTGAGATCAGCACCTCGAACTATTAAGTTTGAGCCCTAGAACGTGAAGATCCGATCATTAGATCAGAAGTTATCATAGGTGCTCCGTTTTTTACTTCTTTTGTGCTTTGTAGATTCTTTTTATAACCTCTTTTTCTGATTCTGCGTCACTATTTCATACTTTCTGACTGCAATAAATATTTATGTTTATACATGATTTCATTAAAATCCTCCCAGTGCTTCCAGTGATAAACAAATAAATCTGAAAATACTCCCCCACAAAACTATTGTAGTTACAGCCTTTGGATGATTGAACACAAATTTGAATTATTATATATTACAATAAAACTTAAGTTGTTTACTACAAATTATATAACATAGTAATTGAAGAGCTTAGTTTGTGAATATTCTACGATACTATATGGTGAATTTAAATAAAATAACTTTAAAATGTGCAGGTTGACAGTTGGAAATAAAAACTATGTTTTATATTTTATTTCCTATTCTCAAAAGAAAACAATAAATTCCCAACGATCACTCAACAATTTATTCTCCAAGAATAATAATCTCTTTAAAACTCATAAAAAATCTCCTTAAAAAGCGCCTTAACACTGACTCATAATGTTTCCCTTATGAAATCTTTAATTTGCTGATAAAATACAGGTTTTATTAGGTTGATCGTGTATTTTGCGTAGTCATAATTCAAAGCATGCTTCAAAAACACTCAGAGACGGTTTCTTAGTATCCTCTTCATGATTTTTTTTTTGGTTTTTTAAAAAATGATTCCGTATATTTAATAAAATGATAACTATTGGTAACGATTGATTGATAAATGATATATATTAATAATGGTATTTCTCTGAGAGATAATTTTTTTTAAAAAAAGTATCACTCGAAACACTCTGTTATACTCCTCAAATACAGCTATTATTTGTGCATAAAATACATTAGACCATAACGTTTATTTGGCAGTAAAATGCTTTTACTGGATTGCATAGTTTATAAACTTTAAGCCTTTTTTTAAATAGAAAAAGGGGAAACAAAATAACTATGCAGCAATCAATCGAGAAACTCTGTATTTTATTTGCTAAAATTTATGTGGTCTGG